GAAACACAACCGGTCGGCAACTCTCTTCGCGAATGATTCACTTGGTATGATGATGATTCGTTGGAACTTTTTCAAGATCGATCTTCCCCGGTACCTTTTGAAAACTTACGAAAGGTATTTAATAACGTTGTTTATGTTTACGATTAGAAAGGGGGTCCAGCAAGTTGACGTTCGGTAATTCGATGGAACTGTCCAATGAAATGGATATATCGTGTATTCCTAATTACAGTCGTTATCATTGAAAGAAACATTAAGTGAGAGAAAGAGAAAGAGAGATAAAGAGAGAAAGCGGATGATCGTATTTAATTCCAATTAGCTTGAACGATCTAAAACCAGTTTCGTAATAGCAAGGTGATCACCATCTCAGGTGATCTATTCTTATTCTATTTTTTTCTTTTTTTCTCTTTTTTATTCTTTCTCTTTTTCTTTTTCTTCTTCTTTTTCTTCTTCTTTTTCTTCCTCTTACTCTCATCGTCGATCTCAAGTGATCGCTTTCGAGGATCATTTTTACGAAAGGTCTCATCTATCATCTTCTCGTTTAAACAATTTATCACTAGCGATAACGTAGACGCTTATCGATATGGTTCTTCTAACCTGAATGCGACGCACAACAACCTTTTTGGAAAAAAATGATTAGACGAACCATTGGCTCGATGATTAATCGTTGAAATATTTTTTCCTTTTTCTTTCTTTTTTTCTTACTTACCACACACCTAACATTTTCATAAACATTATTTTTATTCTTTTCTCGTTAGCATGTTTCCTAATGTACAATGGAATTCATTTTGGAAGGTTTCATTAACCTTTATGTTTCTTCATAAATTAATAAGTTCAAATAAAAAGTATTTTCGTATTTTCGTTTCGAGTTAGATTTCAAAGTATTCTATTGTAATATAAATGGCGTGATAAAGTAACACCATAAGTTGAGTTATTCTATAGGGATGTTAAAGGATGTTAGGGTGGTGGAGGGAAAGGGCCGTTGAAGTTTGCCTTGCCCGTAAACCGTGTTGTTATTCGTCTTAATGTACACGAACGTTTAACGAGTGTTAAAGCCATAAAAGCTACGCTGACACCACAAATTGACGCCTCTGCCAAGACGAGACACGTGGTGTGGTATTCCGTTAAGACTTTCGCAGTTCGGGACCGAGAAACACAACCGGATTTTCGTCTTAAATGACCAAAATGTTAAGAATCATCTCGTCTCGTCTCGTCTCGTCTCGTATTCTTTTTAGTAGATAAATTTTCGATTGATCGAACTCGTCAAGCTGAACGATGAAAAAGTCGTGAAATTAAAAAATACTCACGNTTTTTTTTTTTTTTTTTTTTTTTTTTTTTTTTTTAAGAAGAAAGAAAGAGAGAGATAGAAAGATAATTATGGTAAATAGACTTCGTAAATGGTATGAGACTAATTTTTGGTATCTCATTTTCTTCTTTCTTTCTCTCATTTGCACCTACTATGCGAAAAATTGTAGTTGATTTGATAATGAGACGTGTACACGACACATACAATCATCACACACATATCTCTAAATATTCTTGAAATATTCTACAACATAATTTTTCTTCTTTAACTATCGATGACCAACTTTATTGTTATGTAGGATTATTAAAAAAAAAAAAAAAGACGTTTATTTGAACGAGTTAAGAAAGAAACTATAAATATATAGGTTCGTTTGTGTTGTGCGTTTATGTTGAATGTAAAACTCGAGCTAAAACATCCGAGATAGTTCTCGTTAGATTACCCATGACTCATGGCCACCACCATCATGCGAAGTATTAGCATTGGCATTAGGCTTACTCTCGTCGAATTAATGAACGGACGGCTTTAATCAAATAATGTGGGGGAGAAGGGAAGGGAAGGGAAGAAGAAGAGAAACTTTATTTTTCCCGACGCGAACAACATGCCAATTGTATACGCGCATGCATTTATATATATATACAGTTATGTTGGATCATAAGTTACGATAAGATTTATCGTTGATTGATACGCATGTCGTTTGCATATAACCAACCGAATTGCATTACCAACCGTTTTGCATATTTTCAAACAGTTCAAACAAATCTGTTACTTTACATATATGTAGAATAGTTAGCAACAACCATTCATAGAATACTACGAGATCATTTTTACAACTTGACGAAATACAATTGAGAACATTGTGTGAAAGATCTTTTTTAATCGTAAAATAGGCAAGGCTTCGCGTATGCAAATAATATTTTCATTGTGTTATGTACAAGTGTTTGTTTGTAGGTTTTATCTAGTTATCTATCGTTTTTCTTACACACACACGTACGTTTATTTTTTCCGATCATAGTTCGCGTAGTAGTAAGATTGCGGTAAAGAAATTGGAAGAGAAAAAATGAAATATTTTTATTTGCAAATAGAAGGCGGATTGAAGTATTGCGTGTTCAACAAAGCAGCTTTATACATCGATCATTATTATTTAACACCATTTAACACCGTTAGCCAGGATTTGTCTCGAAAGATTTTCTTGTTGTCTTTTTTGTTTTTTATACTAATTCGCATCCAGCGAATTAATTCTTTCTATCATCGATAGAGCGTAGGCTTAGAAAGGGCGTTTTGTTTGAAACGTTGTTCGTCGTCGTTCACCACCGTATCGGGTAAGCGGCAATTCACTTACTATTACTCTTACTTCCAATAATTTGTTTTGCAAACGAGCTTTAAGCTTGCCGATAAGAATATACATATATTTATGTATATGTATGACTATTCGATGACGCGTGTTAAATTCATTTCTTCCTGTTTCTTTCAATTTATGAGTAATTTTTTTGAGAAATAGCAAACTTTTAGCAAACGTGTATGTTCTGAAAAGTTGGCACGATACGATCGATCTTGATTTATAGAAACGTTCACTATGTAAATAAATTACATTTATTTATTTTGTTGTTCTCTTTTTTCCTAATTTTGTTGTCTTTATCGATCAATTTCAAGGAAAATTCTTCGTTACGACTTGTTACGTAAATGTTTGCCATTTGAAAAAGTAATAATGTTTTCTCATCTAAGATAAGCGTATAAGTAAGGTAATTAACTCGTTTCGCACAAGTCAACCGTGTTTATCGTAAAATTAGTTGTTGTTCTGCTTCCCCTAGTTGTGTCAAGTTTTTATCCTTTCTTTTTTTTCCTTCGACAATATTTTGCAACGATCCTAAAAATCTATCGGTGAAAAGTATAAATAATTTACCAAAGGAATAATAATTGAACGAATTGCAATCTTAAAGTCTCCCACTCCCTTCCTAATATCCTTGAGGAATGTTAGACGAAGAGGATGACGATGACTATGATGATAATGATCACGTCGTCGAACGATGGAACGTGCGCACGTGCGCACGTGAGAACACGCATGCACCACTGTGTTGCGTTCTTGCGTATATTTTCTGCACAAACATACACCATTAATTTTATATACACCATCATGTATATACCATCACCATATCACCATCTCACTCTCACACATGAACGAGAAGCGGTTGCGAGGAGCTGGTTTGCTGCTGGCACAACTCGAACGACCGCAATTAACCTTACGTAACTTGGCGTTTCCTCGCGGCGGTGCCCTCATCTCTTCTGAACTTTTACCGCGTGCTACGAACTGCATACAACACATATGCACACACACACAAACACATAGAATACGTCATACGGAAGGTAATGTTCTATCTCTCTCTTTTTCTCGAGTGTTTATAGTTAAAGACCATTAATGCAAAAGAAATGGGGAAAGTTTTGGAAAGATGTTCTTTGATCGATTCCCTCCCTATACACATCAATGCGAATTCACATGCTTGATGGTTGATGATAACTTTTGGCGAAAGTTTTTCACTCTTACCGAATCATTTTTCTTCTTATTTTTTTTTTTTTTTTTTTTTTCTGAAATCGAAAGAAACATGTTTGTTATTTTTTTGTTGATTTGAAAATGATTAAGAAACCATGAGAAAAAAAAATATTGAAGAAATCATGAGAGAAAATATGAGAGAAAATATGAGAGAAAATATGAAATAAAAATGATGTTTAGTTTGGCTTGATATTATTGTTCTCCATGGGAGTTGGTTTGATGGGAACGTATGGAACGAGGATCATGTATATATGGTATCTTTCGAGTATCTACTTATGTAGATACGCGATCTTGAAACTCGACCGGCGGCTGGTCGTCAAGACTTTATCGAAGTGTTTGTCAAAACATTACGAACAAGAAAGTCCCGGCAATGATACGGCCTAGCGCCGATAAGTGCAATATTTGATATACCCTTTACACGCGATTTTATTATTATCGCAAACGACCAACCGAGAGAAACTAGTTTTTCTCCAAAGGCGTTGGGAGTTTAGCACATGGTGTTTAAATGTGCATGTCTACTTTGCACATAGGTTTCTTTTCTTTTATTTTATTTTATTATATTCAACACACATAACACGATTTATTTATTTATTATATTCTTTAATTAAAATGCATTGTTCTTACTTTTACCGAACCAATTAATTTCCCATCGATAAATTCTGAGAGAGTCTTTTTTTAAGGAATACAAAAGTTACCTGTGGGTGGTGGTTCATTGTATTCAAAAAAAGGGGATCAAACGATTAAGTTATTAATTATTTTTTTTCCCTACAATGTTGAATTTAGAAAATGTAATCTGCGAAATATAATTAGCCTTCCCAGTGACTAATAACACGTACGACTCGCTAAATTTAGAGGTAATGTAACAGACTTAAATGAGTAGCAGGGGTGGTCGTTTTTACCCTTTTCAAAATTTGACAAGTTGGCTGGAGGATTAAATTCCTTCGGGTTCTTAAATGCGAATCAAGAAGAGACTAAATAACCATGGTGTATAATAATATATAGAAAGAAGTAAAGAAGTAAAGTAAAGAAAAAAAAAAATAAAAATGTAGATTACATTTTGGTGTCCCCCTGATACATATATCAATATAAAATATATAAATTAGTAAGATACTTGTAAGATAATATTTAAGACATCTGTTGTTTTGGTTACAGGTGTACGAGAAAATGCGCGTAAGGTCAAGGTGACGTTGGAGCATGGAGACCATAGAAGACAGTGGTGGCCTACGGGTCGATGCCTCGAGAGGGAACATCGCACCTGGTTGCTTACCGGTAGGGAGAAAGAATTGTTTGAAAATCGTTGAACCGGGTATCGACGTTGACACGGTTAAGCAAGAGGAAAGTAGGAGAACCATCACCACCACCGCCACCACCACCACCACCCACACCAACACCATAGAGATGGATCCATACAAGGAACTCGAGCTTTACCTCGCAAGAGTAAACGTGAGTGCAAGTCGTGTTTATGACGATATCAATCGATCGATCATTCATTCATTCATTCATTCGTTTTTTTCGTGAGATGAGATGATCGTGAGGATCGATCATCATCGGAGTTTTATCGATCGTTTTCGTCTATCGTCGTACGTTTCTTTGCGGTCTAGCGCCCTGCAACAAATTGAACGTGACGCTCAGGATTCCTTTGAAAGATTCCAAAACACGTTTTGCATTTGGTTAAGAGTGAGAGAGAAAGAGTTTGGTATTCTCCTCCTGTCCTTAATTTTTTGTTTTCTTTTCCCCAACCCTAACCCCAACCTCAAGCCCCGTTTTAACCTACGTAGCTACATCTGTTTTAGATGCTTCGGCAAAGGGACTAAACGCCTCCAATGGCACCCGAAAAGAGCACCGAAGGGGGACCGGTTTTTTATCCGCGAATTTGATCCTTATAACGAGTCCTTTTCTTCTTTCTTCTTCTTTCTTCTTCTTCGTTGTTCATCGACGTGCTGCGGTTCGCATCTGTTTTCTACCTCAGCTCTTTCTACCGTTGTTTTTGTTGTTGTGTGTGTGTGTGTGTGTTGCTGCTGCACCGTGTGCATTTTACGTTAGAACTACGAGCGTTAGAAACTACAGGATTAGAAATAGAGCAAAAGAAGAGGTAAATTTTACCGCAGGTAATGCGTTTCGATGCTCGACTTTGCGGCAAACAACTTGGAAAATTTCTTCTTCTTCTTCTTCTTCTTCTTCTTACAACTTCCTTTAGAAATGCCATTTTATAGAAGATTGCTTCCGCGAACGTGTATTGACCAATCACCGATAAAGTTTTATTCGATAAATGTTTAGAATAAATTCGTCGAATTCTAAATTTGTCCCAGCATCCTCTCACCTCCCATTCGTTTCCTCCAAGCGAAGAGGAATATGCATATTCTGCTTTTAAGATTTCTCGTGAGAAAAATTCAAAGAAATAAATAAAGAAACACAGTGTGTGTGTGTGTGTGTGTGTGTGTGTGTGAGAGAGAGAGAGAGAAAAGGGAAAAAAGATAGATACAGTTTATTGGTCGTAAATCGTAAGACTAACATAAATGGTATTTCTACCCAAGGCCAATTTCTTTGCCGAGAGTCCGAGATTATACGCGATCCTTCTATTTCTTTTTTTTTTTTTCATTTTTATTTTTTTTTTTTTTATTTCTTTCTTTCTTCCTCTCTCTGTTTCATTTCGTTAGAGTTCCCTCCAGACCAACAGGTCCGCCGAATTTAACCTTCGATAAATTCAAAGTCTTCTTATATTCATCTTTAACATATGACGAGGATGTTCGAGCATCGTTTGAGTGGCCCACCCACCTCCCCTCTCTCCTGACACTGTCTCGAATCTCTTTCGATACTCCAAAAACAGATATACAGAGGAAACATGAGATGAGTATAAGGTTTAAGGATAGAAAAAGGAGAGTTCAAAAGGTCAGAGATACTAAGAATTTAAAATGATCGAGACACTTACATTAATTCTATCTTTTTCTTCTTCCTCTTCTTCTTCTTCTTTATCCTCCTCTCGTTCACACGGCTTGAGTTTACCAGAAACACATGTCGATCTTTCGAAAAAAAAGAGAAAAAACAGACGATGGAAAAACACACACTCTCTTTCACTCTTTTTATGAGAATCTTTGCGAAAAAGTTGAGTGTGTGTTTGTTTATAAGAAAGATTTTTCTATTATCACTTTGATGCATATATAAAATATCAATCGAGAATAGTTTATAAATGTTGTATTAAAAGGATATAGTTGAAAATGAACATTGTTGATTCAGGCAACGTGTATATACAACACACATATGTTTTATATTAACTTATCTACATAATAGAACCTAACACAAAGTTTATAAAATCTAAGTAGAAGAATCTTGTCTCGTTTTTACAAGCTCTCACTATCTTTTTCTATTTCTATTTCTCATTCTATCTCACGTAAGAGAGAGTGTAGATCTTTCGTGGCAGATTAGATCGATTCGAGCATCTTCTACTGGACGAGGAGGAGGAGGAGGAGGATGAGGATGATCAGAAGAAGAGGCGTTCGAAGAAACAGGTCTTCTTCTTCTTCTTCTTCGTCGTCGTCGTCGTCGTCGTCGTCGTCGTCGTCGTCGTCGTCGTCNAGGTCTTCTTCTTCTTCTTCTTCGTCGTCGTCGTCGTCGTCGTCGTCGTCGTCGTCGTCGTCGTCGTCGTCTTCTTTCGCTTCCTTGCGTTCACAGATCCCATGGTACGATAGAGGAGGAAGATCGGATCGGATCGTCCGTCGATCGTACCGGACGGTAACGACGATCTGTTCTTTTCTACGATAGAAAGAGAAAAAGATATATGTATATGTGTAAGGGTGTGGAAGAAGAAGAAGAAGAAGAAGAAGAAGAAGAAGAAGAAGAAGAAGAAGAAGAAGCAGCGAGATGAAGAGTAAGGGGAGAAAAGAGGAGAAGACGGTTCGGAACCGATGTCAAAATCGTTCGATGATAATCCGAATGACAGGTTGTTACATCGAATACCACCTCCGACGCATAATTTAGTTACGCGTATATCATTACACGCCGACGACCAATCTAAGAGTTCTACCTTGTCGTAGACGGTAAGACGGTAACTTTGTATTTCAACCTATCCTCCAATACGATTTATCTTTCCTTTTATTATTTTTGTTGTTGTATTTTTTTTTTTGTATTTTTATTCTTCGTAGTCGTCATCGTGTCATCATCATCTTTCTTCTTCTCTTCTTCGCGACGAATACATTCCACGCGAATTTTTTTTTATTTTTATTATTTTTTTTTTTTGAGACTCTGAGAGAGACGAGACGAGAAGCGTGCTGTGTCATTCGTCGATGGAAAGTATTATTATTCTCACTTTCGATATTCTACATCACCTTCTACATCTTGTCGTCACGCGGACTCTTAACTTTTATTATTATTATTATTATTATTATTTTTGTTCCTATTACTGTGAGCCCTGTTCGCTGAGTATTTTGTCAAATGGAAGATTATAATACGCATGCTGTTGAGAAAAAGTAAAGAAAGATACTTTCGTAGAGAGATACACATATACACGATTCGCCAAGATTACAAGATATCTATGTAGAGATAGAACACCTCGGAGTGTGTGCTGCATGTGCATGTGTGGTAGCATAGTCAGCGCATTTGCGTTTACGCTCGAGGTCGTTTCGTTCCGTTCTGATTATTATCCGTAACCTAAAGCACGAACAAGATACTTGGTGTGTATCGCATCCAAATCCAATAATGTTCATACGTTTCAACGAGCATGGACCGAATAAATCCAAAGAAAACAAAAGAACAAATAATTTGTTAATTATTTGATTGAAAAATATAACACGAGTTAACTTTCTCTCTCTCTATCTCTTTCATTTTCATCTTTATTTTTCTCTTGCTTTATCTCGCGTTAAATACAATGTGTCCGGGATGGGAACGTCGTCGAGTACTTAAAAAGCAGCCACTCGTGAAGAAGATGATCTCTTCTCTCAAGAGAAACGACGATGATGATCCTTTGCAAGCTCGGTATACTGAAGGTAATCGATTTTTCATCATAGTCATACAGAGGTACGAGTACTTTGATAAAAATACTTTGATAAAATCATGTTTTATCTTTTAATTGTACATTTGTTAAGTAAACTACAACATATGTAAAGTTAAAGAGTAAACCGATGATGTGATCGAAAGTGATCGATCATCGATGTTTCATTGAAAAAAGAAGAAAAGAGATAATTATCAAGGTCGAAATGGAAAATCGTCGTGAGACGATGATAATGAAGCATTATGGCCTTGCCAAAAACGCGAAATTCCAATGTGTACGATGACCGGTAGAAACGTTCGGTCACAAGTTTCTTTTGCGATATTCGTCAATGACTTCGAGTTTGTCCTTTTTTTTCTTCTTCTTTATTTTTTTCTTTACTTGCCACCCGTGTACTTTCACTCTTGTAACTCTCTTCTGCAAAATACACGCACACTGATGCAAACGAGAGAAAGAGGGAAAGAGAGAGAGAGAGAGAGAGAGAGAGAGAGAGAAATGTTGACAGTGCATCGAGTTGCGTATGCAACGTGCGCGCGCGCAAACACGTGCCTTCTCCTCGGCCTTCGAGGTTCCTTCTTCTTCTTCTTCTTCTTCTTCTTTTTTGCATTTTTATTTTTTTATTTTCACTTTCTTTTTCTTTCTATTTTCTTTTGGTACCTTCGCTCCTGCCAACGGTTTACGCGCGTGGAAGAAGCAAATATGTTCGCGTGTGGGTGGAATAGTGTAGGACTGCTGCTGCTGTGTTGTGTATTATATCCGGTTGGGTGTGTCGTATGTGTTTAAAGTTTCAGAAGCTCCTCGTTTGCTTTTTGGATTCGTTTAATCTCGTATTTTGATTTTGTTGATTTTTAATTAGATATATAAATTATAGCAACAACAATTATCGATTAGAATTTCAATCAAGTTGCTGAATAAAATTACAAATTTAATTTAAAATGGGATTTGAATGAAGATGGAAAGATAGAAAGAAAAAGTAATGAAATTGTAGTGAATCGTCGTTGTAGGTATCCTAGACGGTGGGTGGTAAAAGTTTCTATTCGTTTTCTGTGAGAAAGGAGAAAGATTTGTCGTTTGATTATCGAGTATGACGCGAGTTAATTAGAATCGTGCTTCGAACGCGTAATACTGAGAACTCGAGCGAGTTTATATTCTCTCTCTATTTCTCTCTCCATTTGTCTCTCTTTTTCTTTCTTTTTCTTTCTTTTTCTCTTATAGGAGTTTTGCTCGAGATCGTAAAGTCAGCGGCGTTACGATAGGCAAACCATTCGCGTCGTCTCGAGTTTATGAATGAAGAAACCGAGGCGTCGCTGAACTCATGACTCCTTCAACCCAATACCGTTTTCTCGGAACCACATTTATTATGTTGCTGCTGTATGAATATGTACATACATATACACGTATATGTACGTTCACCTATGTTCTTCTTCTTCTTCTTCTTCTTCTTCTAAAACGAATGCACATA